ACTGTCTGACAGGAATCTGAGAATACCTATCATCATCTTGAAAACACGAGTTGTAGGTTATCCAGTGTGTAGTTCCTTAGCATGCAAGAAGACACAGGCATGAGCTCCAACTCCTCGAGCTGCATTAAGGACCTATTGTCCATCAAACTTTTTGTGCCTTCTGGTTGCCTATAATTGGTTGAATATTTATATGGACATAAAGAATGAAAAGAAGACCAATCATGAAAGAAATTTGAAAATCAGAAACACAAATCTAAAACTGCTAAAAACTAGGCAATCTCTGGCAGAACTGCTATTTCTTTTCAATTACTTACATTCTGTTATATTACACTAGAAATAGCAAAAAACAAAGGAGAAAGATAGGAACCAAAAGCATTAAAAGATGAGTTTTCCTGCAATTGAGAGCTGGCAAAATTAGCCTGTGGGGGATGGAAGCTGAGTGTGTATCTCTATCAGTGTCTTCTTTTTTTTTTTCATTTTTTTTTTCATTTTTTTATTATTAATATTTTTTTTATTTTCCATTTTAAATTTAGATAAGAAACAAGGTTGCTTCACAAGTCAGTACGAGGTCCCTCTCCCTTTCCCTCCCCTCCTCCCGTGCCCTCCCCCCATCCCCCCCCCGTTATCCCCTCATTCCCCCAGGGAGGGTGAGGCCCTCCATGGGGGTGTCCATAGTCTGTCATTTCATATAGGGCAGGGCCTAGACCCTTCCCCAAGAGTTCAGGGTGAGGGTGCACCTCACATTGTTCTATGGGAGTCCAGAGACCGTGTGTATACTTGGGATGGGTACTGATCTGCTGTCCAAGGCTCAATAGATTACCTAGGCCTCCTCACTGACACCCAGATTCAGGGGGTCTTGATCAGTACCATGCTGGATTCCCAGGCTGATGCCTGGGATTCAAGAGTTAACCTTTGTCTGGTCAGCTGTTTCTGGGGGTTCAACCAGCCCAGTCTTAATCCCTTTGATCATCAGTCCTCCCTCTCTGATACTGGCTTTTTGAGTTCAGCTCAGTACTTAACCAGCCAGTAAATGAAGTTTGTTTCCCAGACTCTCTGGCAATAGGATTGTAGGCTGGCACTCCCCAGATCTATGTCTAAAATCCATATATGAGAGAGTACATGCCATGTTTCTCTTTTTGTGACTGGGTTACCTCACTCAGGATGGTTTCTTCTAGTGTCATCCATTTGCCTGCGAATCTCATGATTCCATTATTTTTTTCTGCTGAATAGTACTCCATTGTGTAGATGTACCACATTTTCTCTATCCATTCTTCGGGTGAGGGACATCTAGGTTGCTTCCAAGTTCTGGCTATTACAAATACAGCTGCTATGAACATAGTGGAACAGACATCTTTGTTATATGAATGGGCATCTTTTGGATATATGCCTAAGAGTGCAGTTGCTGGGTCTTGTGGTAGGTTTATTCCCATTTTTCTGAGGAATCTCCATACTGCTTTCCAAAGTGGCTGAGAATACCTATCATAACCTTGAAAACACAAGTTGTAGGTTATCCAGTGTGTAGTTAATTAGCATCCAAGAAGACATAGGCATGAGCTCCAACTGCTCGATCTGCATTAAGGACCTATTGCCCATCAGAGATTTTGTGCCTTCTGGTTGCCTATATTGGTTGAATATTTATATGGCCATAAAGAATGAAGAGAGGAAAATCATTAGAGATTTGAAAATCAGAAACGCAAATCAAAAACTGCTACAAACTTGGCAATCTCTGGCAGGACTGCTATTTCTTTTCACTTACTTACATTCTGTTATATTACACTAGAAATAGCAAAAAACTAAGGAGAAAGATAGGAACCAAAAACAATAAAATATGAGTTTTCCTGCAATTGACAGCAGGCAAAATTAGCCTGTGGGGGATGGAAGCTGAGTGTGTATCTCTATCAGTGTCTTCTAAAAGACAGCCTACATTTCTGTCAGGGAAGTCTTGAATTAGTCATCTGCCTTCTAACTGTGCATATGGAATAGAATAAGATGTAAACAGAGGATGCTCACATCCATTCTAACCTATAAAAGGAATTTAAATTTGGTTAAAATATATTTGAATAGACATAACCACAATCTTATTACGACAAGTATATTCTCAGTGACAGGAATGGCATAATTTTTCTGAGTTATAGGTGAAAATGTTACTATAATCTCCCATATAAACAGTACAAATGATAAATGAGGCTTCTGTTTAATCACCATTACAAGAGATGGTAAGGTCCTATTACAAAGGAGGCTCTTACACAGGTCTTCAAAAATGGTTAATTTGTCTTGTGCCCAAAGTAGTGTTTCAAATACTGTCAATTGTTCCTGATGCTGATGCTGGGGGCTTCCCTATATGTTTATGAGAGTAAAATTCCACTACAATAATACCAGCAATAAACACTGCCACTTATGACAGGGACCTGCATTGAAGATACTTTTCTGGAATATTGTGTTAATGTGGAAGTAATCAACTAGTTTTTACTGCTTTTAATGTGTCTTCATTAAGAAGGAACCGATACATAATACTGGTAATTTGGCGAGTTACCTGAGTTTATGTAGATTATGGTTACATTGGAAAAAATACCATACTCCTTTTAAAAGACATAAGAAGAATGAAATAAGATTATTCCTACTAAAATACTGCTAAACTGGTAAAAGAGTTAATCACTCAAACGTTATCCGGGTTTTATGATTGCTTGTAGCAAATGGGAGATTCTCACCAGGTCTAAGATTATACTTTGAGCATCATTGCTGAACTAGGTCACAAATTATTTCCTAAAGTCTCACGTGTCTGAGTGCAAAGGATGCAGATAGATTGAAAGATCCAGCAAAGTTAGAAGCTGATTTAAAAATGATTTCCATTATTAACAGGCCTGACACATATAGGAACTCACAGAAAATATGAAAAGGCCAAAATATATGAAGAGTAGAAACCAGGCAGTATTCCAGCAATGGACAGAAAGTAGACCTGCACTACATCCTATTATAGGGAGAAATTTGCAATGTATTCCCATTGGCTAGCTATGCCTTAATTATTAATCCATTTCTATTATTCCTTGCATTGCCACGAGGTTGTTCCTTCTCCATTATCTGGCATGTTATTCCATCTACATGTTGTTCCTTTCAGGCCTCTCTATGCCCTCCTCTCCCTAGCCTTCTTGTGGTTGGCAACCCTGCCAGTGCATCCTGCCTGGCTTCTGGCCAATCAGTGGTTTGTCAACCAATAAGAGACACATATATAAAGAAGGAAATCCCCTATCATACTATCTTCCTAAGTGATTAGTAAGTGTGCCGTATATAACTAAGTACCAGATATATTTTTGTTCATTGGCAACAAAATTGAGGAGCATCTTCAATAATATATTATTTAAATTGTGTTGGCAGGTATAACCATATTTAATATGGTCTTTGACATTCTAAATAGAGACTATATCAACGTTTGTAGACAGGAATTACATCAAATAACTCTGGCAACTAAGATAGATATTTCATACATCCCTTTATTTTATAAGTACTTCAGTTGTTTAAATACCCCACCATTTATATTCCCAGTGCATTTCAATTCCACATGCACACATGTGTGTATATATAAGTACATATATATATGTATATGTATATGCAAGTGTCTGCATTTGTGTTTGCAAATATACATACTTGTGTATGCATATTCATGATCTAATTGAGATTCCAAACAAGAACACATTGTTTGTACTGTTTTCCACTTTGTTCCATTTCCTCCTGCAACACAATGTCTTTTCTATTCATGTCAAAATGGTATCCTTTTATATTAAAATTATTTTATCCTTTATGTAAAAATGCATACCTACCTAACCCACACTGTGTACTTAATCTGCTCATTATGATTAACCATATTTAGCATTGGCATTTCGAAATGAAAGATCAGTCAAAGTTATTTTACAGTACACATGGGTTCTTTTTGCAAAGCACTCATAGTTTATGAGATTTCTGTCAGTGTTTGCATGACAATTTTTGGTGTGACTGTGCTGAACTTTTGTCATTGTGTTTTAGTTTGATTTCTGTTTGGGGTATACAAATTATCAAATCCTGTGCTTTTAAACTCCCTACTCTTCTTTCAAGAAACACTGTAAACATCAAACACTCTTATGTTTATTGATCAATTTGGAAAGGAAACATACTAATTATCATATGAAAGAACCTTGAAGCCAAAAGGTAAAAAATTGTTTTATATAATTTAATCAGTTTGTTAAAAGGGACAGATGTCCCCTGGAATGTTAGCACTGAGGCTACAACTTTGTTACTAGTAGGCACCATATTCATGAACACACAGTGTCTTTACCTGAATGCAGATGTCACCAATAAAGAGAGAAAGTTTAGGAACTAAGGATTGAGTAGTGACTAGATACGATTTCTAAGTAAAGAGTTCCCCCATCCAGTTGAAGTGAGGGAGGAACGATAACATGAAGCAATAATTTTGGCAATAACCACAAAGACAGTTGGCCTCAGCAAGTCAGGGCTCACAGATTCCTGACTGACAGCTGGGAGACATGCATGAAACCGAGGCTGGCACTCTGAATGTGGGTGACTGTGGTGTGTTTGGACAGTCTGGGAGGTTATTGCAGTGGGACCAGGATTTATCCCTAGTGCTTGATCTGGCTTTTTGGAGCCCACTCTCTTTGGAAGGATACCATTGTCAGCATTGATATAGGGGAATGGTCTTGCTTAGCCATAAAAGGATGTGCCAGATTTCCTTGATTCACCATTGGATCCTTACAGCATCTGAGAAGTGGATGGCGTGGGGTCGAGGAAGGTATGGTGAGTGGGAAGAGAAGGCTAGTAGGAACATGAATTAGTCTATAAAACAATGCCCTGGTCTATAGCCAATTAGTGTGATTGGGCTTTGCATTCTCTTCCCCAGTCATGCTTTATTAATTCATAAATAATATATAACCACAGTAAATGTTGGGTGTATAAGACTTAGGGACTTCTAAATCTCTAAATACCATTTTTACAGTTGTTTGTTTTTATTCCAGGATAGAATCAAATGTTCCTGCTACTGATGGGGTTGATGTCTTGGGTATGTGACACAGATAAATAGATTATTAAACTTCAGAATTTCCTGAAGTATTGCCTTCCAGTGCACAAGCCCCGTTGTCCTAGAATGCACTACTAAGTATATTATGAAGAACTTGAAGTTTTTACAAATATATTTGCCACTCCAGTTGTTTCAGCTAGTAGAGGTGGTTTTAAATAGAATCACATTGCTTATTGGATTAAGTGTCTCTATTCTATCAGTACAAAACTCACAAGTTTTATAAGTAAATTTAATGGAAACTTATGACAATTGCTGTCATCCCTAATAAAGAAGCATTGTGTATTAAATAATTAAATGTAGTTTAAGCCAGAGATGTTTCAATTTCTCTGCTATTCTTAATATAGTCATAATGAATTTGGTCAAGAAAGTATGGGAGTCCCATAGTATCATGATACATACTGTTGCAGTTGTAACATATGGAAGATATGTTTTTAACATTTTACTTATCTCCACACTGTTTTTCTGAGTAGCGTGACATACTTTCAATCCAATAGGAGTTAATGAATGTTCCATTTTCTTTATATCCTTGAGTCAGCTATTGTTGGATTTGTGTTGTAGTGAGAGATCTATCAGAGGCACCTGCAGTGCTGAACTTGACAATTTGGGGGTGGTGACAGGTGCATATCTGAGCTTGTGGGTTTGGGTTTAGGGTCCAGGACAGGTTTAGTCTCTCTTGGTTTTGGTCTGGGTCATAGAGGGAACAATCTGAAGGACCCAAATAAAATTGGAGCCCTCACTGTGGAAACCGTGACATAGAACCAAGCAGAGAGATACATGTTTAACTCCCGTTAATATTACTTGTTTTGCTTGTTGACTTCTGAAGCAAGGGCTCATGTTAAATTGCATTTTTCCAATCTTTTTTCATCCATTATTCCTATTACTGTGGCAGTATGAAGAAATTTGTGGAAGCGAGAAGAAACACATTCGTTGAAATAATTTCCTAATATATGGTAAGTATTTTATTAATAGGGTGGAGATCTCTCTCGACATTGGTCCTATATCCATTCATTATTTTCTTGTAACTATTTCTGTTAGAGGAATACAGGACCTCAAAAGCGAGGGTGAGGTCTTCCATTAGGGATCATTAAAATCTGTCAGGACATTTTGAGCAAGATATCGGCCCTCCCCTATGCTAACAGAGTATCCCTGTACAGTAAATGGGTCCCTGAATCTGTTCTTGCAATAGGAACACACACTGGTTCCACTGCGATTGGCCACATAGACTACCCAGTGTTCCCAACTGACACCCATGTTCATGGGGTCTATTTTGGTTCTATGTTGGCTCCCCAGCTTTCACACTGGATCCCATGGATTGCCAGGTAATCAGGTCAGGTGTTTCTTTATGTTTTCCCAAAGTTGTCTTCAACCATTTTTCAGTACTTCTCAACTCTGAAACTGGATTCCAGTAGCTTGGTTCTGGATCTCTGCTTCTGTTTACATCAGCTACTGGAAGAAGGCTTTAGAATGACATATAAGGAAGTCATCATTCTCATTGTAGGAGATGGGCATTTAGGGTATCCTCTCCACTATTGTTTAGGGTCCTAGTTTGGGTCATGTTTTTGAATCTATGTGCCACATTTATCTTTAAACCTATAGTGGCTCCTTCCTTTTATGTGTTTCTTTTCTAGCTCATCTCTATTTCTCTCCTCACTCATTGATCTTGATCCCTCATTACCTATTCCTCCCTCCTCTTTTCCCCTCCTCTTTCACCTACCTCCTCCCCCCTCCTGCCATACTCCCTAGTTGATCATGGGCTCTTGTTCCTTTCTGCTTCACTGTAAACAGTGTTTGTCACTTTAATGTTCCTCCTTATTTCCTAACCTCTCGGGAGGTGGGACGTGTTGTCTGTATTCCTTTTCACTATGACTAGAATACATATATTGGTGAATACATACTATGTTTTCCTTTCTGTGACTTAATAAGATCTACACAGCTTTTCCCTTCCATTTTGGCATAACAACTATTGATGTCGATGTGCTAAAATTTCCAGTACTTATTACTTCAGGAATTTATGTTAGTAGCCTTTGTAAAAATTCTATATGGAAAACACTTTTGTCACAGTAGATATCCTTTTTATATTTACCTTAAAATCTCTTTGCACACAGTCTTTAATGTTGTCAAAATTTTGGAATAATGGTGAGTTTTCTGGAAATATCAGTTGCAGTTGAACATAACGTTTCCAGTATTTCTTTGAAGTCTAAGCATTTGAGAAATTATATAAGTGTCTCTATGAGAGGCAAAATTAAGGCATTGCTATGGGTGAAAGCTACACTTGTTTTTGAGCATAAGGTTAAATATCTAGAACACATTTAGAAATTATGCACCTTCAGGATAATTAGAAGCCTCAGGTTCCATTAAATATTTAATACATATGTATTAGGCTAGATTTCCGATACTTGGCAAACATGAAATTATTTCCTTGGTCATAATTTAATATATGTCTGCATTGCATTCTAATGGTATATTTATAAAACTGAATATTTGTTAAGAACCATGCAGGTTAATACCATTGTACAAGCTAGGATTTGACAAATTGTAACACTTGATTAAGGTGTTAAAATATGAAACTTATGTACATTGAAGCTTTATAGTATTGTTACCAGCAGCATTTACATTAACACACCATGGTTGTAGGAATTCCAAGAAATATTAATATGACTGCCATAGGACTCTGTCTCTGATATGTTAATATAGAATGAAATGATTAAATGGACCTTACAGAAAATACCAATGAACAAATTTGAAGATTTTGAGTCAAGTATTAGACGGAAAATACAGCATCGTCCTCTCTACTGATAATGCTGCTTTGCATGTGAGCATCACAGGGCAAGTGCCAAGACATGTGTTTGATTTATATTGGTCATTAACTATTCAGAGAACAAAAGGTTAAACAGGGGGAATCTAAAGGAGTACATCTGAAGTCGAGTGGGAGAGGAATATATGTTTCTATAGCATGAATATCAGAGTTATCCTAGAGTTATATCCGTGGATTCATTTGTTTTTCTTTTAAGGTTATAATATGCATGCTCAGACTTAGTCAGCAACATGTTTATTGTAAATACGGGTACCTGGATTTACTTCTATGCTATGCATACTATAAAGGAAGCACAAAGATATTGGCATGCAATTCTAGCAAATGACAGAGGGTTGTGGTGCAGAGTTCTTAGTTTTACTGGTCAGCAAGGCTTGACTGCTTGCAAAAGTCCTTTAAGTGGAAACACTCTATCTCAAATCAGTATCAGCAATGCACATCTGCACCGTGCCTGTATTTGATGGATATTTTTGGTCAGGAGAGCTCATGCATCCTCATCCTCTGGATTTGCATTCAAAATACCTACCCAATGCAGATCCAGGCTAAAATCACAGGTATGGTATGCAAGTTGGAGATGTTTCAGGAAGGGCTTGAAAGTAACATTCCCCCTTACTATGGAAGTGGTTCATTTCAGGCAAACATCTACACACACATGGGAGAAGATCAAATTCAGTTATGAAATGCTTATCTAGGTTTTCTGACATGGCATGTCAATAAATGGAAGCAGGAAACATCTGTCAACAGCTGAGACACCAAAATTGCCAGCTCCATGTAGAAACAAAGACATTCATGCAGATAGCCAGCACATTGTTGTTAGAAGCCAGTTTTTTTAACAACCCCTACCTTCCACAGGCATTCCTTTTTTTGACAATTGGGCTCAGAACCAAGGGGAATAACAAAATAACATTTCGTTTCCTTCTCATCCAGTTTCCTTGCTGCTTCAAATCCACATACATTCAGGTTGGAAAAGAGAATGTGATAACTCTCCATATTGGATCATTTTCTATACTTAGAATTCACACAGTCCTTCAGTCAGAGGGAAGGAGTGCTAATAAAAGAGTCTGCACTGAGGCTTCCTACAACACAAGATCTGGCAATACCTCAGGACTTAGTAGATTCTAGGTATAACCTGAGCCCACTGTACACTGAAACATAAAAAGCACGATACTGTTGACATTTGAGGGACAGAGCCTGTGGGAATTAGCAATGGCAGGTTTTTATGATTCCCAGCATTATAGTTCCTAGTGACCCACTCCTGTCACAAAAGGAATGTCTTCTGGAGCCAAGTTATCAATAACCTAAGAAGGACTAAGAGTTGTTACACTATAACATTTGTAGAAGTTGGTGACTTAATCAAGTTTACTGAGAGTTTTAATTGTTCTGTTAGCTGTCATTTGGACATTAACCCAGCAGGAGTGATATGATTAGGAATATTATGTTCATTAATGGCTTTAGTGGACATTATCTAAGTTATTCCTGTTGTTAAAAATTGTTAAGGTGAACTCATTTTCAAAACCAGGAGAGTAGAACAAGTAAGTTTAGGATGTGTAGATTTTATATGCAGGATATTATTCAGCAATGCTGTTTTTCCACATATCTGTTGATCACAAATACACAGTTTATTGTTTTGATTTATCCTAAATTTTAATCAAGAAGGCACAACAAACACTGAAAGTAGGGGAAAGTGGAGGATAATATCTGAGATAGGAATCTACTATGCCAGGCCCCACAGATTGCTGAGGATTCCTCAGTGACACCCAACTTTGAGGTGCTGGATCAGTCCCATGTTGTCCTCAGACCTCATTTTGGGGTTCATGAGCTCCACCTTATTCAGGTCACCAGTTTTTGTGGGTTTGGCCAACCTCATCTTGACCACTTTGCTCATGACCCCTCCCTCTCAGCTAACTCAATCCAGGAATTTAGTACAGTGTTTAGCTCTATGTGTTTGCCTCTGCTTACATTAGCCACTAGATGAAGGTTCTAGTATGGCATAAATGGTAGGCATCAATCTCATATCTGGGAAGGGCATTTAAGAGAGCCTCACCACCATTGCCAAGTTTACCAGTTGATGTCATCCTTCTAGGTCTCTGGAAATCTCACTAGTGACACATATCTCCGCAAACTTATAATGATTCCCTATAGTATGCTACCTGTTCTCTATTCTTTCCCAGAGAAGGATTGTTTATTGGAGAGAAATTTTAGGGAAGGGTAGGTAGTGAATGTATTGAAAATAAAAATATAATATATTGCTTTATTCATGTATTAGAAGGTTAATTTAGAATTGTGAAATTTTAATGTCCAATGCATGTGTACATGTTTGAAAAAATTTCAAATAAAGTCATACAAACAATTGAAAATTACTGAAATATACACATATTATGAATATTTCTTTATGACAATAATAGTACAAATTGTTGTCACTTTTGGACACAGAATGTAAATTGTGTATTTTCAGAGCAGGACTTCACAGTAATGATTGCATATATTTTTCCCAAGTATATGTTTCAATCACTCGTTATATATAATTGAGAAAAAATCTCAATTTATGGAGGAGGCTGGGAGACCAGCAAAGCGGCGGTTCTTCCAGCAGCATCAGGTAAACAGCCCGGCTTCCCGGCCTGTGCTCCAGTGCCTGCAGATCCCCTGGGAACTGCACAGAGCTCCCAATCCCGGCGGGAGCCAAGCACCCCAGACTCCGGATCTTCGCTCACACCAACGAGACCAGGAAAGGAGAGGAGGCTGGGAGACCAGCGAAGCGGTGGTTCTTCCAGCAGCATCAGGTAAACAGCCCGGCTTCCCGGCCTGTGCTCCAGTGCCTGCAAATCCCCTGGGAACTGCACAGAGCTCCCAATCCCGGCGGGAGCCAAGCACCCAGACCCCAGGTCTTCTCTCCCACCAACGAGACCAGGAAAGGAGAGGAGGCTGGGAGACCAGCGAAGCGGTGGTTCTTCCAGCAGCATCAGGTAAACAGGCCGGCTTCCCGGCCTGTGCTCCAGTGCCTGCAGATCGCCTGGGACCTGCACAGAGCTCCCAATCCCGGTGGGAGCCAAGCACCCAGACCCCAGGTCTTCTCTCCCACCAACGAGACCAGGAAACCAGAGGACCCAGGGAGACCAGGGGAGTAGCTGTTCAGGATCAAGTACAACAGGACCCAGCATAGGGTCCAGGGGACCAGGTAAGAGGATAAGCGCCCCAGATTCCTGTTCTTCTTCTCCACCCACGGGACCAGCATTCGGACAAGGAATAGAAGAACCACCAGATTATTGGACTTGCTAGCATCCACCAAAAGGGACGCTGGTGCCCAGACCAGTAAGGGGCTCTTTCTGTACCCACTAGAAGAAGAGATGGGAAAGAGACAATACAAAAACACAGTCAGCAACAGAAAAACAAATATGACACCGCCAGATTCTAGAGACTCCACACCAGCAAGACCACAACATTCCAATGCGGACGAAACAGAAGAGGACGACCTTAAAAGCACTTCCATGAAAATGATAGAGGCCCTAAA